TGACCTGGATCAGAGCAGTGGTGCTCAGGCATCAAGTCATGGACCTATAAATGATGGTCTTAAAAGCTGATCTGGTGGTTTTTATTGAAATTGTCCTTTATGTAGACCAACAGAGGGTTGAAGATGCTTTAAAAACAATAAGAAGAAAAAAAAAAAGCCCGGTAGTATTCTCCTATTCCTGCACAGGAGAAATAGTACCAAGAGGCCATCTGGGCACTGAGGGCACAAGCCCACATCCCCTCATTACTTCTAGTTCCCTTGCTGGAGTGTAGAGAGATGTGGCATTTATAGCAGAATGCATGGAAACTTTTTCTCGGGGAGCTGAGCACAGAGTGGCCTAGGAAAAGATGGAAGAGAGAGGAAAAGAAGCACCTCTGTGAGTGGGGACTGTCTCTACCCCTCAGATTTAATCTCATGGACCTGCCATGTAACTCCAGTGCCACAAATGAGTTTAATATATAAGGCACATCATGTAAATTAGAAGAGTCCCTCCTTTTCCAATCAGGGTAAGTGGTCTGGGCAATACGAAGACAGCTGCGTCACTGGTGGGCAGTAGAAGGATTCTAAGTTTGTCAAATGGTGGGATCAGCAAGGACCAGAGTAGCCAGAGAGGGCCTGGAGTGGGTTTGGATGTAGATCCTGGTGAAGGGGCATTAGGAGAGGAAAGCACAGTCGTCTGGGATACATGGTGAATAAAGATGCAGAAACCCCCACACTTGAGCTCAGACAGAGGCCTTTGAGGTAACTCCTGAGTGGGGAAGGATGGGATATACCGGGTGTAAAGGGCTTCGCATATCAGGATGGAGCTGGGTGTCGTTTTGTGCTCGACTAAGGGGTTTTTGCTTTATAGGTAAGCATGGGCCACAGGGGAACCTAGAAACTGCCACCCCCAGAGCATGACTCTGCCCCAGTGTGGTCACAGAGATCTGGGTTCAAGTTCCAGTTTATGTCCTCAATGGGCTGAGGGACCTGGAGGCAAGGACCTGTCTCCTTTCTGTAAAATGTGGCTAGGGCTACCCAATTCACTTGCTTACTATCTGGCACATTGTAGATGCTCAGTAGATGGAAACTATTTTTTATATTGTTCCCGCTCTCGTATCTTGCCTTAGTCCTGATATCGGTCCTGTGTGCCTTTGTATCGGATTCTGGAGGCATCGAAGTACAGTTTTTCTGAGAGTCTGTCTTAACGCTGAAACTCTGCCCTCAGCTGTTTTACTCCCTGACCTCCTAGGCATGAGCTACAAGTCCAAATGGCAGTCTTTACAAGCCTGTGTGTGGACTAGTCAGACCAGCTTATCGTTCTCTGTGACTCTGTCTCTGCCACTCAGTCTTTGTGACATCTTCCCTCATGGGGAGCCTCTTCCACTTGTCTTTAATTGGTCCTTGTTGGGACAGCTTGTCAGCCAAGGCTGCTCTCTGTCACTTGACGCCACATCTCTTCCTTGTTCAGTCATCAGTCAGGGACTTTCCGTTAGCTGAACAGAGAACACTGTACTAGATACTAATTTGCCTTGTCAGGGGGTCTGGCAGAGTCTCTTGCCTCCATGCCCTACCCAAGGCCCTGGTACCTTACTGCATGGCTGTGGTCCTGCACCGGGCAGGTGGGGAAGGGAAGGGTGCCAGCCATGGAGCTTCCCAGTTGAGTACCACCAGGCTACAAGACCCCTGTCCTCCTGCCCTTTCTTCTTGGTGGGGGTTCTCAACAAAACCTCAGGTCAGGCCCCAGGCAGTTTCTGACAGTATGCCAGCACCCCGGGAGACAAGAGTATGCTATTATTTCTTTTTAGGTTTGTGTACTAGTGAAGAATTTTCTGTGTTCTACCATGTATAACATCCCTCTCGATCTTGATAATCGCCCTAGGGGAAAAGGGGAGCTGTTCCTAGAATAGGTTTCTGAGGTTCCTGTCTTTGGAAATGGGACTCAAGTTACCCAGCTCCCAGTAAGAAAGGTGAGGAAACCCCAGATAAATAGACAAGTAATTTCCAGGCTGTGGAGTAGATAGAGAGCTCACCTTCAAAGAGCTTTCGAGAGAAGTCTGGTTATCTTTTGCCAGTTTGTGGCCCTGATTCTCCTCTGTGTCTCTCTAGAAACCTGCACTGTAGTGATTCACCTCTGGTCCCAGTCTCAGCTGTGTACCTTTCTCAATGAAGAGCCCCTCTTCACAGTACCCTGCATCCATTTATTTTTATTTTTTTAAAAGATTTTATTTATTTATTTATTTTGAGACAGAGAGAGAGAGGGGAGGATTGAGCAGCGAGAGGGGTAGAGGCAGAGAGAGAATCGCAAGCAGACTCCCTGCTGAGCACGGAGCCTGATCTGGGGCTCGATTTCAGGATCCTAAGATCATGGCCTGAGCCGAAATCAAGAGTCAGATGCATAACTGACTAAGCCACCCAGGGGCCCGGGCCCTGCATCTCTTTAAAAGGCTTTTTCTTTTTTCTCTCCTGCCTCTTGTAGGGATGTCTGAGTTCTTTATCCATTTATTATTCAGTGGAACCAAGCCTCTGTTTGCCCCCCTGGGATGAGCAATTGTTATACATTAATGATTAATCTTACCAAGCAGTTCTAGTCGTAGGCATTTAACTGAATGCAGAGAAAGCCAAAGTTTGTTTATGACAGAGAGATCTCCCATGCCGGGGCCCAGTAGTGGGGCTAGAAAGGGGGAGTTGCCAGTCATTAAACTTGGTTTCTTTTCTGGTTCACTGGAGTGATCGATTGCCTAAAGATCTTGCAGTATTTCCTCTTTTCACATGGTCAGTCCAGTAGTGCTGAGATGAGAAATTCAGGAAGCTGAACTTGCATGATTTTCCATGTAATGTTAAAGATGAGCTTCACAGGTGCTGCTAGTGGGACCTCACTCCGAGTAGCCACAGTGGTAAAGCATGTGGACGTGAGAGCCCAACTCCCTGGGTTCAAGGCCTGCTCTGCCAGTTACCAGGTGTTATGACTGTGAACTGGTTCCTTAACTACTCTCCACATCTGTTTCTACATCTGTAAAAGGGGGGAATGGTGGTAGGTGTCTCAAATGGGTGTTGTCAGCATCTGATGGGATGGTAGGTTTTAGATCCTTAGCATGGTATCTGGTAGTAGGTGCTCAGTAAATATTAGTATCATTATTATTTTCAGTGTTACTATGGTTAGGCCCATTATCAAGGTCATATAGTAGGTGAGGCATTTTCAATTCTTTGTCATTAGTTATATATTAAAAGGCCAACAGTTCTGCTCTACTCTGTCCTGGTGATGGGGAAGAGAAGGGAAACAATTCTATAGCTGGATGTTAGGGATTAAATGATTTGTACTGGAACAACCCGTCCATTTACCTTTTTATCACTGAGATGGATTGTAAGATTTATTTTAGTATTTAAGTTTTGTTATTTTGCTGAAAATGGAGATGACCTTTTTTGGGGTTGTGGAAAGGATGAAATGAGACTAACAGCTACATCACCTCCCCATGAAGTAGTTGAGATTTCTATGCCCTTACTCTGTACTGTTCTAAGTGCTCAACATGTATTAACTCATTTCATCCTTGCAAAATAATTTACTCCTGTCTTCCCAATTTCAGAGGAGAAAAAAGATCCAGATAAGTTAAAAAACTCTGCCAAGGTCACACAGCTCATAAGGTAGTGGATGGATGTGGGACTTGAGCCCAGGTCCGGATTCTGACTTAGAATTTGAATAAGATAATATAAAGCACATAGCAAAGCGATTGCCAGAGTCAATACTGTAATGTTAGCCCCCTTCCCTTTCATTTTTTTTCCTGTTTTTTGGAAAAATGTGATGTTACTTAGAGATCAGAGGACTGAGACCCATCCCAGGGCACTGCAGTCAAAATTCAGTTCTAAAAACAGCAAAACCTCTTTGAAATTCTAATTTTGGGGAATATCATTAATCCCTGCTTTTACGTGGATTACACCAAGTTTCAAAAATCATAATAGTTTTTTTTTTAAGATTTTATTTATTTGAGAGAGAGAGAGAGTATGAATGGGGGGCAGGGAGAGGGAGAAGCAGACTCCCTGCTGAATAGGGAGCCCGATGCGGGACTTGATCCCAGGACCCTGAGATCATGACCTGAGCTGAAGGCAGATGCTTAAACAACTGAGCCACCCAGGCACCCCAGTTTTTTTATGAGTGTTTTATTCTCCTATCCTGTGTATATGGAGGGCACACACAATATGTGAAAAACACAGATCTCCTTCCCCACCAACTCTTAACACTTAATCATTTTCTTTCAGTAATACATGTGCATGGTAGGAAACAACAACAACAACAACAAATACAACAGGGTACTGTGAAAAGTCAGTCTCCCTCCCATTCCTGAACATGAATCTGAAAAATCCACTCCCCCGTGACAGTTTTATAGTTTCTTGTGTTTCCTTCCAAAGATGTTTTATGCATTTATGAATGTATATACATATAACACACATGCCCCCCCCAAAAAAACACACACACATACCTAACACAATGATAGTGTAGTGCACACTTTTATGTTCCTTGCTAATTTCACTTAACAATATTTCTTGGAGAATATCCATGTCAAAACCATGTCAAAAACTACTTTGTTTTTAAGGACTGCATGATTGTCCATCATGGGAAGTACCAGTCTGTTGTTGATGGTCTTTTAGGTTGTTTCTGGTCTTTTACTAAGTATACTTCAGTAAATATCTTTGTATTTAAATATTAGCATTTGTGCAACTCAGTTTCTCTTGATTTTTATTTGCAAGCTGATATTGTATAACTTTCTGATAACACAAAAAATTGGCCAGAAGGAGACAACACAAAAGGAATAAAATAGAAATGTGGGGGCTTTTTCCAGGCTTATGTGCACCCCAGAGGTCCCTTCCAATGCTTTTTCAAATGCTCTATGTCACTTTCTCATATTGTTTCAGACATATTGTGTCCTGAAGCCTCTTCTTGGGCCTTTTTCCCTGGTGCCCAGTGAGCAGTGGCTGGTAACTGTTTGCAAGATTGATTCATATGGCACTTGTTTGGCTTTTGACAGGTTGTTTATAAGAATAATGACATCCGTCTGGAGCTGTCTCGCCTGGCCCGGATCGGGGACACCAAGATGAAAATCTATGGTGAAGTTGTATTCAAGTGTGAGAATGTGGCCACACTGGACCCCATCAACTTCGAGACCCCAGAGGCGTACATCAGTTTGCCCAAATGGAACACCAAACGCATGGGTTCCATCTCCTTTGACTTCCGCACCACTGAGCCCAATGGCCTGATCCTTTTCACTCACGGCAAGCCCCAAGAGAGGAAGGATACTCGGAGCCAGAAGAACACCAAGGTGGACTTCTTTGCTGTGGAACTTCTCGATGGCAACTTATACTTGTTGCTTGACATGGGCTCAGGCACCATCAAAGTGAAGGCCACTCAGAAGAAAGCCAACGATGGGGAATGGTACCACGTGGACATTCAGCGAGATGGCAGATCAGGTAGGAAGAGGCACAGTTGTGATTGAGAAGAGAGGAAAGCTGCAGCTTTTCAGTCTGTTTCCCAGCTTTATATTTTTTTATTTTAATGTTTGCACTTGCATACATGTTTGACTCTTTGGCTGTTCTCCTTAATGGTTGTTGTAAGATTATGTTTCTGAACAAGATACCTGTCTCGTCGGCAGTTCATGTGGTCCTCCCTTTCTTGTCACTCGCGGTACAGCCATCTCAGTTATGGCTCCAAGGCTCTGGAGCCACGCATGGTTTTACAAGTAGCATTTCCACTCCTACCAAAGAGGCTGTCATGTCACTGGTGTGATGGGTTTTTTTTCCCCCCCCTCCTTTTCTTCTCCTTTTTCTCATCACCATGGAAACACAATTGTGACATCACAGATGCTGCATTATGTGATTACTCTGTAGGATAAGCTTCACTGTGCCAGAGTTTATGCAACGCTACACCCTTCCATAATTGGCAAGAGTCATGTTGCAGGGAGAAATTATGACAAGAAAGGAAAAGGCAAATTGATTTTTCCTGAAGTCATGTTCAGTTTAAAGCCTTCCTTTGGTGTGAGAGCCTATATTTCACTCTTTGCTCAGAGCTCACTAACTCTCCCTTCCTCTTTATAACCTTTTACATTTGTTTTAAATGGCTTTGTTTGTTTCTGCAGCCTCAGATCAAACAAGCTAGCCCCAGGCAGTACATAGCTACTGTGGAATGGTAACAAAGAGAGGGAGGAAACACACACACACACACACACACACACACACACACACACAGTCTGGAACTTTTGAATGCCTGAACAGTCTGCTTAGCTTTCTGTGGACCATGTGGCAATGAAGGTCACATTCTGTGCCATCAGGAAGGACATTTCATCCGGAGTAGCAACTAGAGCATTTGGATTTCACGCAGATTTCCTGATTCTCCATTTAGGTGGTGTTATACTCAAGAAGAAGGGTCTTGGCTATGTTTGCTGTATTTTTAAGGATTCTCTCTCCTGAAAAACACAAAAAGTCTTTCATTTGGACATTTTCGTGTAGGCGCACTTGGCCACTAATAGAAAGCAATAGGTTCCCTCAAAAGGCTGCAGCCAGGAATGGTTGAGCTTTCTGAGGACAGCTTTTCTGCATAATTCCACAGCCAGAGGGATGACGGAGATGGGCAATGTTGCCCTTAGGAGGAGCTGGATGGGTTCTGAGTAGAGGGCAGACGGGTGGCAGATTGCAGCCCTGGCTGGTTTAGCGCCCAGCAAGATGCTTTATTGATTGTCTGAAATCTAATCAGAACCAAGAGGCTTCAAATTAAATGTGCTTGTTGAGTAAGAATGAACAGTTCGTGCTTTTTTAACAGAAAAAGGCACAAAAAACTAATTTCTCTGGAGGCTGAATCTTTTTCTCTCTCTTTCTAAATTTATCCCTACAATGTCAGCAGGGGCAGAGCCAGAAAGCTATCCTAAAATTATAAGGGAAACACTTCTATTCATTTTAAGACCATGTGTTTTGGGTCTCTGGAGTTCCATTATGGTTGATGGGTGTTAGGACTGGCTAGCCTAGACCTGACACAGCTTAAAGGTTACCTATCTGTGTCACAGGCAGCCTAGAGCAGGGGAAGTTGCCATATGTTTACTTCTGTTTATTCCCAGCACTGATTGCTTTTTTCAAGTGGAGCAGTTATTTGTTAGAACCATCAGTAGACCCATCTTTGACAAACCTGTCTGGATTTCAGAAGCCTGGAATTTCATATCCGGTAGCTATAGCATTGGCCAATACTGATACATTTGATCAAAGCCTATAATAATTTACTGAGTAAACAAATCATTGTCTTATGAACGCAGCATAACATAAAATTTTACTATGATCTGTTAAACTTCATTTCTTCACGAGGGTATTTTCTGGTATGTTTTTGGTTACGAATCTGTACCAGAATGAAGAGTTACAAAAATATCTGCCTATGTGAGTATGGTGCCTTCTTTGCTTATCCTGAAGAATGACATGGGCAAAGTATGGTGATCACTCCCTAGTTGGGGGACTGGTTCTTGGAACTGGATTAAGTGCATTCAAAACAGTTGTGGTCACGCACTCAGTGGATGGATTTCCCTCAGGATGTATTTATCACTCTAACATTTAAATCCACTTTGTTGTTGTCCTTATTTGGCAGTAGCTGCTCCTCCAGGTTGGGGATCAAGCAGTTCTGTAGGCTTGTGGAGGGTAGAGAAAGCAAGCAGTGCACGAGGAAAGGAGATGCAAACCTCAGCTTCCCCCAGTTGTGAAACAGTGCACCTCTTAGCTCCTTCCTCGTGAGATTGTTGTGAGGATCGAGTCCAGAAAAGCACATACAGTACTTAAAATGGTGACCAGGACATAATTATTGCTATGTAGGTTTCTAAAATTAAAAAAAACGAAAACGCAAAGCCAATTTCTCCAGGGGAAAACCTTGAAGATAGAGTGGGGTAAGCGTGTGGTTGGCATAACCCACCCAGAGGCCCCTAATGCTGGCTTTGTAATTTATAGTGTACTTCACACTCTTGATCTTATTTGATCTTCTTGGCCCTTCAGCCTATCCCTTTCATAGCCCAGGGGACTGAGACTCAGGCAGAAGTGAAGGCTACTTGATGAATGGCAAGACCTAGGTATCTTGGTACCCATAAAGCACTTTAAGAATACTAAATAAATTTAAAACTTCTGGTGTGATGTTCAGATATCACCTTAATTTTACAGTTTCCTTGATTTTATAGTTTAGGAAAATGGACTGTAAAGTAGCCTGGGGACTGGCCTTGGGTCAGAAGGCAGTTTAGGACTAGAATCCCAGTCCCCAGTTCCCAGGCCTGGCTCTAGGTTTGACAGTCTCATCGATGGGTCCGCGACCCTACTGCTGCTGGGCCTGGTCTGCCTCTGATCTCATCTCCTGCTCGCCCCTTGTGCCCTCGCATTCTAACCACACTCTGGCTTACCCCAAGGCCTTTGTAGGTGCCATTCCCCCTGCTGGCACATACTTCCCCCCAGACTTGGCCTGATTGGGTCTTTTTCAACATTGTGGTTCTAGCATATTTGTCACCTGCCTAGAGAGGGAGGCCTTCGCTGACTGTACGTTTTAAAGGAGAACCCACAGGTTGCTACCACCCATTTTACTCTCTTCCTAGTACCGACCAATACCTAATTTCTTTTGCTTATTGAGTCATTTGTTTAATTTCTGTCCCTCTGCTTGGGAATATCAGTGCCACAAGAGCAGAGATGTACCTGTCAAGTTCATCTCTGTGCCTACCAGCATACCAGAGACACAGCAGGTATGCAATCCATCCCTGTTAAGTGAATAAACATGTTCCAGTTGAAATTTCTCCAAGGCAATGCTCCAGGGCTGGTAGCTAATGGCATTGTAGAGGGTATTAGCGCATGGAGGGTTCCATCCTTTTGGGCATGGCAAGTGAGTGATGAAGACTCAAGCAAGCACTTCCAGAACCCTTACTCTGTCCCAAACCCCGAGGAGCACTTAAGTATGTGAACATATCTAATCATCACACCAGTCTGTGAAGTGGGGACCATTATTTTCCCCTTTTACAGATGAGGACATTGAGGCCCTGGCAGGTGAAATCACTTCTGTACCAGTACTTGGTAGAGCTGAGATTTAAACACAGGCAGCAGCTGTGCTGCTCTCAACCTGTTAGGTAGGTGACCTTCCCCCCGGGACTCTGTAGAGAAAAGACACCAGGTTAGGTGTTCGTTCACGAGATGGTCCTGAATCCTCCTATCAGTGAGAGTGTCTTAGCAGCAAAGAATGGAACCAAATGGCCTAACATTTTCCTTTCTACTGTCTGGAAGCGTTTGCCTCCCTTGCTTGCATTGTTCTCACCTGGCCAGGCACCACGAATCTCTGATCCCACCTGCTGGGCTCCTTTCATTGGTTCTTTGACTGGCAGCCTCACCTGCCCAGAGGGCTGGTAGCTCACTCTGTTTCCATCCTTCTGTCCCAGGTACCATATCAGTGAACAGCAGGCGCACGCCATTCACCGCCAGTGGGGAGAGCGAGATCCTGGACCTGGAGGGCGACATGTATCTGGGCGGGCTGCCGGAGAACCGTGCTGGCCTCATCCTCCCCACTGAGCTCTGGACCGCCATGCTCAACTACGGCTACGTGGGCTGCATCCGTGACCTGTTCATCGACGGGCGCAGCAAGAACATCCGGCAGCTGGCGGAGATGCAGAACGCTGCGGGCGTCAAGTCCTCCTGTTCGCGGATGAGCGCCAAGCAGTGTGACAGCTACCCCTGCAAGAACAACGCTGTGTGCAAGGACGGCTGGAACCGCTTCATCTGTGACTGCACGGGCACTGGCTACTGGGGAAGGACCTGTGAAAGGGGTGAGTTGGCCCTTGTGGGTGGCATGCAAGGTCTGAGTGGGCGTGGTGTATGGCAGGTGTGTCCTGAGATAGACCTACCCGTGCTTTCTCTGTTTTATAGAAGCGTTTCCTTCCGTTCACTGCTTTCCAGATTATACCCTTTCTGGTTCTGGATGCGTGAATTTGTTAACTAGGGTTGGATCCCAGAAAGGGAAACTTTGGAAGAAATATTACCAAGATCATGGCACTTTTTCAATTAAGTATGAGACATCTTCTATCCAGGGTGGGTGGATACTTCTCTTTTGGGTTTCTGGGTGTGCTAACGAACTGGCTGTTTCATTTATTCATTTAACTCATGCGTTTTGGAGCTTTCTACATGCTAGCTCTTGGATTAGGCTTAAAAAATACACTACTGAACAAGGTAGACCCAGTCCTGTTCTCGTGGAGCTGCTGCCTGGTGGAATATTTAGTCATTAAATAAATAATTACAAGCGTGGTGAGGTTTATAGGAGGCAGCATGATGTATTGGTTAAGAACATGAACTCTGGAGCCAGGCTGGGTGAGAAATCTGACTTTTATGGAGTAATGTGACCTTTATCAAGATAATCAATATCTTTGAGACTTGATTTCCTCATCTGTAAAATAGGGATAATCAGGTACCTACCTCAGAAGGTATTGGTGATGATGAAGTGAGTTAGTAGGTTCCCAGACAATGACTTAATAAATGTCAGTGATTGTTAAAGTCATAGTTATTATAATAAACATTATCAAAGGGAAAATAGAAGTTTGGGAGGCCCTCTGCAGGGGGACCCGGCATACTGTAGAGGTTCATAAAAGCTGCTGTCAGGAAGAAATATGCAATCTGAGACTTGAAACAGGAGTAGGAGTTAGCTTGGCAAAGAGGTTGGAGGAAGGCGTGTGTCTTAGACAAGAAAGACAGACAGAGGTAAGAAACTGTGGCACAGTTGGGGAACTGAATGAAGTCCAGAAAGGACTGGAGTGTGGCGTGAGGTGGGGGGAAGGGCAGGAGAGGTGGCTGAGGAGGAGGGGAGCACACAGGCCAGGATGCTGGCAGACGCCTCTTTCCATTCACCACGTTGGCATCTTGTGTCTGCACTGAATTTACAGTTTCGGTGAAGGGCAGAGATAAAGGTAAAAAGCAGCAGCCTGAAGACAAGGAGATTCTGGTCTATAAGCTATGTCCAATTCCAGCTTGATTTATTCTTTTATATGCCAAGCTTATAGACTTCAAGCTGGCTGTCCATAGATTGTCAGCCTCTTTTATATGAAGGGATAATTTACATAGTTATCAAGTGTTTGCTGAGGGTGTAGCTCTAGGGATTTAAAGATACTGCATATGCAACAGACATAGTTCCTGCTCTCAAGAAGTTTATCATTTCTTTATCTGAAGAGCTGAGACGTCTCTACAGGAAGCAGTAATAAAATGATACCAGGTAGCAGAATGAGCGCTGTTGGTGGACCAGACTGGGAGGACAGAGATTCAAGGAAGAGAAGACTTTCTTGAGGAGGGACCTGCAAGGTCTCTTCCCTAAAGACCACCAGTGGCCAGAATTTTCCAGTATCAGGAGTCTGGGGATGAGGATGAATCTTTTTTTTTTTTTTTTTTTTTTTTAGATAAGGAGTTTTCTTCTCACTATTTCTTTTCTTTTTTTTTTTAATGGCTAATTTTTATTTTTATAAAAATTTTTATTGTTATGTTAATCACCGTACATTACATCATTAGTTTTGGATGTAGTGTTCCATGATTCATTGTTTGTGTATGACACCCAGTGCTCCACGCAGAATGTGCCCTCTTTAATACCCATCACCAGGCTAACCCATTCCCCTACCCTCCTCCCCTCTAGAACCCTCAGTTTGTTTCTCAGAGTCCATTGTCTCTCATGGTTGGTCTCCCCCTCCGATTTCCGCTCCCTTCATTCTTCCCCTCCTGCTATCTTCTTCTTTTTTTTTTTTCTTAACATAGGTTGCGTTATTTGTTTCAGAGGTACAGATCTGTGATTCAACAGTCTTGCACAATTCACAGCACTCACCATAGCACATACCCTCCCCAATGTCTATCACCCAGCTGCCCATCCCTCCCACCCCCCCACCACTCCAGCAACCCTCAGTTTGTTTCCTGAGATTAAGAATTCCTCATATCAGTGAGGTCATATGATACATGTCTTTCTCTGATTGACTTATTTCACTCAGCATAACACCCGATGAGGATGAATCTTGGAACAAGCCTGGAAAAGGGGCTGGATGACTAGGCAAAGATGTTTTCAAGGACTGGCTTTTGTGAGGTCCACTGTATAATTAGTTAAGCGGTGTTTCAAGAGAACTGTAGATCTTTTTTTTACAGCTGGATCAAAAACAGGACACAGCACATTGGGGTGAAGGAGGAAGAGAGAACTTTCTTGGAGCTCTTGGAATGTAAATTCAGAGTCACTGAATTTTTGAAGCTGTGACAAGCAGAAGATAGAAGCAAGATGAGGAAGCAGCCATCTGGAACACAAGTGGGCCACATGGGGCTGGTCAGTCTGTCAAGCTCCTAGACTTTTTCCAAACACTGATGTAGGGTAGACTACCCTGGTCCTGGTTTGGGGCAAATAGAAAGGGCATTTGACCTCTGAGATGAGTGAGACAGTTTTGGTGTCAGCCACACTGTTACAGATCTTCCACTACCTATGAAGTAGTATAAGAACCAGAGATCACTTCAGACCTCTCACTCCTTCCCCTTGGGTCTCTTCCTAACTCAAGGGCCTTGGGCCTGCTGAAGACAGGCAGCAGTGACTGTAGCCAGCTGTGCACGGTGTCTCTGAGCTTACCTATCCAAGGGCATATCCGTGGGAGTTGGTCCAAGATTTGCCAAGAACAGTGAAAGTCACTGCACCTTTTATGTTGTCACTTCTGACTAGTCATTAAGAGGCAGCTGATTGGGGGATACATGAGGGACAGTTATTCCTGGTACAGTGCAGCCAAGTCATCCATTCTGGCCAACTGAGAAGAGGCATAGCAAATTTAAGACATTTGATCCATACGTCGCTCAAATCCCAGATGGTGCAACTGATTGTTTTGTTCCCCTGCTAATTGTTTTTTGGCCCTGTATTGTTCCTGACACCATGTTCAGAATGAACCAGTGGAGTGTAAAAATGATAGGACTCTCTACTTGCTAGCAGAGAAAGTAGAGTTACCCAATGACATTGTTTTTCTTTATTGAAACTGATTTCTCAGTGGAGATGCTTTGAGTGTCCTTTATTCATTTTTATACATGATGCAGATATTTATTGAAACCCTAGTATGTTATAGGCACTGTATCAGATTCTGGAAATGCAAAACCACTGACATAGCTCCTGATTTTGATGAAGGGGTATATAGTCCTTCCAGGGAAACAAAGGGAAATGTGCTAACATGTGGCAGATGTTATGCTATATGTTTATAGGGGAACAGTAGGGCAAACAGATGGGAGAGACCATGTCTGTGTAGGGGAGTAATGGTTGGGAAAAGGGGATTCGAGGTTTCTTGGATCTTCATGTCTCCTATTTCTAACAAAATGATGGCCTATCTCTACCTCTGACCCTATAGGCACTTCTGAAGAGTGGTGAAGGAAAAATATTTGTTAACATTCTTTATGTAAGGACCATGATCCCCTTGGGATCCAGGAATGCTGCCCCACCCACCATGACCCCATCAACCTGGGCACTCAGTTTACCATTTTCTCTAAACATTAACCCTAAGCCTAGAAATGATCATTTGTACTAAATGTGATAAGATTAAGACAATTTCTAAGGCACTGTGTCCCATCCAGCCTAAACTGTATCCTCGACTTGGACTTGGTTGCAGGGTCAGTCCCTTGGTATCACTGGTCCCACAATAGGAATGGTAGGGTTAGAGAGGCATTTGTTTATATAAAACAGAGAAAGCATAGGTGGGATGTTAAAATTGGTATTCAGAGAAAAAGCAGAGTTGGGGATGGCCCAGGTCAGACACTAGATCAAAATAGCCCAAGAACTCAAGCAAAGTGAGCAAGCAGATCAGTGTATAGGGCGACTCCCAGATCAAAGCTGTCCTCCAGATACAAGGAAATAAGGCAAGAGACCTAGGAAATACATGAATATATGAGGTTAAGGTTAACTTGCAAAAGTATCTTTCTCTTATAGTAAAAATGGATGACTCTTGCTTGCACCCTCATGAGAGTGCTTCTATTGCCTGTGAAGATAGCAACTCTAAATCTTGACATTTAACAGTCAGCTGGATGTTGTATTTAGAATGTTTCGGGATGATCTGATACTATTCTAAGAAGATGTAGATCTATCTTCCCATCCCAATTGTTCAGCTCTAGCTATTTTGGTTTGTTATTCATAGTGTTGTGGGAGACGTCTGTCTCCATGACCTAAAAAGCAAAGGCCTGTTTTAGCTGCTTAATGCCAGTCACTTTGGTTGACATGCTTGTGTCTGGAAGACCACCTGCCCTCCTGTGAAGCCCTATTGTATTGAAGAAACATTCTAGCTTGTCTTTCTTAAGAAGATATGATCAGTTGACATGGAACAAGCATGGCATCTTCTCCTTGTCCCTGTGGCCAGACTGTTTAGTTCAGTTGGTGGGAGCCAAGCATCAGTAGCCAAGACTGGATTTGATTTGTTTGTGGACCATCAAGCTTCAGTTTGATGATGCCAGTGCAGATTCTATCCTCTCCCCTAGATGGCTTTTTCTGAATGTGTGCCATCATTTATTTAGCAAGCAAGAAAGGAGGATTCAGCACAAGTCCATTCCTTTGACAAGAAAAATAACCTACACTATAGCACTTACAATTGGGGTGGCCTAGTGGTTAATGGCATGAATGTTAGAGTCAAATAGACCTGGTTTGTGTGTTAGTTCTGCCACTTACTAGCTAGGTGACCTACAACAAATTGCTCTCTTAATTCTTCTAAGCCTCAGTTTCCTTATCTGTAAAATGAAGATGCTAATACTTTCTAGGTAATGTTCTTTTGGTTGCAAGCTACAGAATTGACTATGGCTA